TATATATATATATATATATATATATATATATATATATATATATATATATGTATCATAGTTCACACACGTCTGATGCCAGACTGTGTGGTGGTACAGTAATCTTTACGAAAAAGAAAAACGCTCCACGATTTGCAAGTGAGCCAAATACTGCCAGGTTGTCCAGGCCAAGATAGGTAAATTTTCTTGTGGAATCCACAACCGGAGCCTTTGGCTATTCAAAGCCTGACCAGTAAGACAGCGAGGTGGTGTGCGAAAATCGTAATCCATTAGGAGCCGATNACCAGTGATCCACCAACCCGGTTATAGCCCCGGATGTTGGCTTCTCGTCCTCTCACTTTGATGGGAAATCACCTCCGCCACAGGAAGGCAGTGAGTAGGAAGTCATCAGCAGATGCAATTTGAGACGCTTGGTCGTATGGGAGCATTTCTCGAGGTGCAAGGGCAGGTGTAACCAGCCGCAACCGTAGATACCCACCCCCGACCATACTGAAGATTTCGGAGGCAGATAAGCGACCAACCCGCCTACTCAGTTCCTTGGCACACAGCCTGTAGCATACAGCTGTGCTTTCAGTTGGATGTTATAACGGAAACGTACAAAAATAATGCCCAACTGAGATACACTATTCCCTGAGTTTCGGCTCACCCAAATCCATTCCATTTGTAACACGATCAAATGCGATCCATGCGAATAAGGACACCTCCTTTATGTTGTGTTCTCGGTGTTGATTTCTTGCATTACATTCTATCTCACTATTCATATGGGATTTTAACTCCGAACATCTATCTAAGTGACAGTATTTCAAAACTTAATTTTTCGTTACCGAAAGTGGATTTGCGATCAAGGCATTCGATCGATAGTAACTGTGTGTGATTCTGGGTTCAGTTTTTGTTAGATTAAAAAAAATCCGTATTTGAGACGAATGCACATTCGAATTTAATCTCCCCCCTCATATCAAACTCCATTTCTGTGACTTGACCGATCCTCTTTTCATTTCACTCGTTGATTTTTTTCACCATCACCACTGTCGATGAGGGGACTGGTTTCCAAACCAACGAATTCCGATCAAGATGGGATTTATCGATCGTTCATACTTCCTGTCCGTCATCCTCAGGTCAGCCATAATTTTTCCACGGCCTCTTTTATTTTCCAGCTGGTCGAGTTCATATGTCAACCAAGGCACAATCTGGATTTGCACGAAGAACCCGTACCCCAAGCCCCGGTGACGTTCACTGGCGTTATCCGCAATCCGGTTGTGACACGGAAAGCTATATTGCCTCTGCTAGTCCAGTTTATCAAACGTCACCAGTCACCACCGGCAGAGAATTCGACCACTTCCGGGAATAATCCGGTTGAAACAGATGAGAATCTCCCGGATAGCAATGTGAGTGAGCACGCAACTGGATAGATATTAGTGTTTTGTCGCATTTACCTGTGTCCCTTCTTCAGTTAATTTATTCAAATAGAGACTGTTTATTCTCCATTGATGGTGATTCTATGTTTCGAATTTTCCGGTTTGTTTGTTGTGTGTGTATGTGTGTCCGCCGAGATTTGTGTGAACTTGCATGAGGATGGGAAAGATTTGATCAGTTTTCTAACAGCTGGGAAACATGTTACGTGAATGCTATTGGGCGAAGAAATAACCGAGAACAGGGGCAAACTCTGGCGCACAAGTCCCCAACACGTTTCCCAAATTGACATCTATGTATGTCTGGTGGCTTGGATGCATCTAGACTCAGTGCTAGGTGGATATTGTTGGGTATTAGGTGAAAGAAGGAAGGATGGTTAATGAGGATGCGATGGAACCTTATGTTGTCAAATTGATTGTGTTGCAAGAATATCGTGTGATTTGCATCCTGTCAATTATTTAATCCTTTACTTTGTGCTATCTTAGTTCCAGCTCCTTTTGTGAACTTTTTTCATCACCCACTTAAACACAGAGAAATCATGTTTCGTTTGTTGTCACACATTGTTTCAAGTATACTCACTCAATCTCTCTCTCTGTGTGTTATTGTGCGAAAACTCTGTTGTTGATCACATCTTAAGTGATAAATTCAGTAGTTCTAAATCTCGTTCGCCGGCGAGCTGGTATATATGTATATATAATGAGTAGTATACGAATGGCTGAACGAAATTTCCCAGAAGCACGGCCGGTTTCACGGTCTTTGCAGCTCGTCAGGTATTCGTATCTGGTAATCTTCTGTCCGGTCATTCTTATACTTAAACTCCCAATGGGTGTGCGTTCCGGGACGGAGCTGAGAGTCCGCAGTGCATCGTGGGCCGGTTTCCAGTTCATCGGATCATTTGCCCTTTGGACGGGGTCAAAAATATAAGGTTCCCAATAAACCTCGATGCCCAATTTAGCCGGTGATCATTGCAACAACCAGAAAAGCGTGTGTGTGTGGTTGGTAAGCCTCCTCTAGGTTGATTTGGAATCAGGGTTTTTAGCCAACTCCCCTAGGTGAACAACCTGTGATCCACCAACCCGGTTATAGCCCCGGATGTTGGCTTCTCGTCCTCTCACTTTGATGGGAAATCACCTCCGTCACAGGAAGGCAGTGAGTAGGAAGTCATCAGCAGATGCAATTTGAGACGCTTGGTCGTATGGGAGCATTTCTCGAGGTGCAAGGGCAGGTGTAACCAGCCGCAACCGTAGACACCCATCCCCGACCATACTGAGGATTTCGGAGGCGGGCGGAAATGTTGGTGTTAGTTGAATACGTCCTTTCTTCCGGTGGGGACCTACACAACTTTGCTACCGCATTAATGTTATTTGGAACAGAAACGGAGTGATGGGTTACACTGGTGTGTTGCAATATTGTCGGACGCGTCACGCATGAAGTGTCGACACGCGTATAGAGGGCTCGTTTGGCATTTGCCAATTTGAGAATTCTGTGGCAACGTCGCAACATCCGGCCATCTGTGAAGAGCCGAGTATATGTCACAGCAGTTAGGTCGGTCCTACTCTACGGTGTAGAGACTTGGCCACTACGGGAACAGGATGAGAATAGATTTTCAGTTTTCGAAAACTGCTCTCTACACCTGGCGGGGTAAATCGGACAAGCAATACCGAGGTCAGGGGCAGAGTTTTAGTTGGTCGCGGTCGTCCATTGGAACAATTGGTCGAGCTGCACAGATTACACAGGTTGGGGTATGTGTTGCACATGTCACCAAGTAGGTTGCCACGCTGTGCGATGTTTGGCGAGGCAGGTAGCGACTAGAAAAAGGTCAAGGGCATTCAAACTAAGACCTGGTATGAAGGTATAAAAAAATCTAACCAGGTAATTGGGTTACATAGGTCCCGTCCTGGATAGGGTCCCCGAGGTTACGGTCGCCGATGGCTAGAGACACAGCGTTGTGGCTAGGTGTCCGAAACGATGGTGTTCATGCATCTACTCATTATTCTTACCCTCCCAGTCTATATGAATTCTCTATCTTCTCTTTGATTCTACTCTCAACATTCCAATCTTCATTTTTCTGTTTTATTCAAATGGACAGCCAAATGACAGCAACCGAAACCGGCGCATCATAATGTATATGGTTAATAGCTAAAACTGAAACTGCGTGCTTTTCGATCAGTTCACGTTGACTAACTTCAACCGGAACCACAATATCCGTTCGATCTAGTGGAGTGTTGAATTCATCCCCAATTCACAGTTAACGGCTATACATGGATTCCACTTTTCTGCGTGCTAGTGATTGCATTGTTTGGCTGACTGGATAGCGTCACGCAATAACTTGTTCAAAGGCAGCTAGCTGCCTTACACGTTCATTATGGCTGTTGCAACCGGAAAACGTTTTAATGAATTTTTTCCTCATCTTTTACAGAAATTGTCTCTCAATTTTACGGAATCGTTAGCAGACATTGCGTTCCAGTTTAATTCATCAAACCGAAGGTCTCATTGAGCACGTCCTTTGACGTACTCGATGTGCAGTTTTGGGCCTAAATTAAATGATAATATTATATGAATTAGGTAGATTTCGTGAAAGTATTGACCAGTGAAAAGCAGTCAGTATGGTTTGGAGCAAAACTTTGTTCTGCATGACAGACCAAGACATTCGGAACTGTGAGTGTCACTTTTGGCGCATAATTCCCCAATGAAAGAGGTCATTGTTGCCGGAAAATGCAGTGCATAATTGTGTTCAATACCGTTCGAATCGGTTTGCTCATCGGTTGGAGTTTCTCATTTTCAGTCGAAATCCACTCATACGGACTGCTGCTTTCATCCGATACGGTCGTTGGATCCAAACATTCAAGGTGAACTGAATTTCTTACGAACCTGGTTGGCCTCATTCAAACCGGACGAGCGTTTCAAATTGGTTCAAGACACAGTGTCCAGAGTAATGGATACAGTATGCACTGAGCATCCGTCAGTTGAACTACTTAAACAAGTAGCGATGCAGTTGACGGAAAAAGCTCACGCTGATCGAGATTTCGCGACCAAAGTGAATACAAGTCCCGTTTCACTTCAGAAGGGTGAGGCACCCTTGAAAACTGAATTCACCGACGGATCTATTGGAGATTTTGTGAGCACTATTTCATAATAAATATGTCTATTTACGTTTATACTTTGCCTAATTGATCATACAAGCTTTTCTTTTGCATGTGTGTCAATCAACCGGCTCAGTTTTTTTCCGGTTTACACTTGTCTCGCGTTATGTACTCTGTCAGTTGAATACGTTTTCGAAGCTGATACAGAGAACAATCTCAGTGTGTATTTTGTGTTGGATGACCACCAGGTCATGATCCATTGTTCTATAGGTTCCTTAGTTTGATCATATCAATGCTTAACAATCTGGAACTGGTAGTGTATTTATTTCTTTATCATCCTGTTTCGAAGAAAGATAACTCTACTTTACGTATATGTTGCTTGGTTAATGGATCTGAACCATCATTATTACCGTAATTTCTCATCCACATTGTGCAGTGGAATGATTGCGTGTAACCAAAACCCGATCTTGTTCGCCACATGTTCTCAATCTGTTCTTTGTCCCCTATTTCAGCTTGACGTAATATCTTGCACACGCTGCACACGCGTTTGTGGCTCGTTCTCTGTTCCTTTCGTCCCACCCCTCTACCCGCTCGCATCTTATTCACCATATTCATGCGTCTTCGAAAAATTAGTCAAACACGAAGGAAATGCATGATCACATTCATTGTATTACGGCATAGTCAAGCAGGACAATCCTTGTGATAATTTATCAGAAAGTCGCTAAGCCCTAAAAGCTTGTCCGAACAGTCCCACAGAGCACATTTCAAATAAAACAAGGAGTGGCGAACAATCTCGTTTTCAGTGATTCGTAGTCATGCCAAATACATCACAATAACTAATACGCTGTTTATATATGAATCAGTATTCAACCATAAAAACGTAAACAAATATTTTGGGAAAGGGAAAATAATCTCATGAGTTATCTGGAGCTAATTTCATCTTGGGATCGGATCACATAATTGTTAGGTCATCCGGTCGTTGGGATCACTCGGAATATGAGGTGTGTAGGGGGCGGGCCAGGGCAGCTTAAGCGCCTGCACAAATTGTTTTTGGCCACACAGAGGGGGGTGGTGCAGCCGAAATCCTACCGCTTCCGCTGTGGTTAGCATACGACAGTGAACCTGCCTTGATAATCGACCACGAACCCGATACAGGGGACGGAATGCCTCGGTCACATTCATTGTGTGATTTGTTTCAACTAGTAGGTGTGAGACCACTGCACTGGTGAGTGACTTATGTGAACATTGAGAATTCCATATCCGGTCTGAAGATGAACTTAGCCCTAGGTAACCCATGAGGTTATTTTCCCTTTCCCAAAACATTTGTTTGCGTTTTTATGGTTGAATACTGATTTATATGTAAACTGCGTATTGTGATTATTGTGATGTAGTTGGCATGACTACGAATCACTGGAATCGAGCTTTTTCGCCATTCCTTGTTTCTTAACAGATTATCGACCATGACTGTACGAAACACGAAGCAAACTATTTTGGGCTGGGCTGGGCTGGGCCAGGGGGGGGGGGTTGTCTTCAAAATGATCTACATGGGAGATTCGACACCCATGGTGGTGGAGTCCAGAATAGCGCATCGGAAACACTGATCGTTGTTCTCCAACTGTGTGTTGTCGATATCGCCGGTCAAAAATGCGGTCATCAACCAGATGAATTCTTCCCCTGGTATTGTTTTCGTAAAACAAACCGTGTATCCCTGACCTACAGAAGAACACCACACCGAATTTTGCTTATACACACACGAAACTGGGTAATTCTAATTTTTATCTGGGCGCCTCTGGTCAGCACTTATTCGGGGTTCACCATCTTTCACATTATAAGATGAACGATCGTTTACGTAAATGGTAGCCGAATCATGCGCGTGTAACAAAATCTGACCCGAAACATTGAAACTGGCTAAAAGTGAACTGTGTATTGTGTGAACGAGGACAAATTAAATGCCCGATAACCGAGTGAGTAATATGCTTGCGTTGTACCCGTGAGCTTCCGGGTTCGATCCCCAGTCGGGTCGATGAATTCACACGGTGCTGATAAGACCGAATCGGGTCGAAATGACTGACTGTACAGTGCTTCTTAGCTTTTTTGGTTGTAGACAGCTTTGTTGTCATCCGGCTCAATACCACACCTAACGTAACAGGGCCTTATGTGGTTTGTCATTCCAAGTCCCAGGGCTTAGGTTATCGGTTACCATAAATGAAGAACACGTCCTCGAGACTATGGGGTTCCATCCCGTCTGCTGTTTATCACACTAAAGTTTGTAATAGAAATAGAATACAATCGCCCACTCAACCAAATAAGTATAACGCATTCAATTTTCACCTTTCTCTCCCCTCATTATTGAAAATTCTCATGAAATCTTTTACTCTGCTTCATAACGTAGTGGTTGTTTTTTATTTAAACGACTCGTTAACGTAATCAGCCTAAACGTGATCCTTCCTGGTTTTCTAACTGCGTTAACAACAGTTACTTCTCGGTCCTTCTTTTTTGATACTGTGAAGCGCTTTACCTGAGGAACTCTGACCAGATATCAAAATAATCAATCGATAATCTATACGAAGTAATAAATCAGTTAGCCGGGAACTGAAAGCACCAGACCCGGAATACTTGGGTCATCAGCCACAAAAGGAGCAAAGTCTTACGGCCTCCAGGTGCGTGATTTCACAAACAACACAAGTCGTCGTCCAATTAGCGATTTCACATCTAAATAATTATTTTCAGTGGTTCCATGAAGTTATTGGTTCCTAACTTTCGATAGTTCATTCTGATGATCAACATTCGTATCGTTGATGATAGCCCTACTAACTCGCTCGGTAACGGTTCTCGGTTGCATCGCTATATATATATATATATATATATATATATATATATATATATATAGTGTGGTGAACAGCAGACGGGGCTAACCCCATAGTCACGAAGACCTGCTGCTCTGTCATGGAAACAGGCAGCGTGAGCCCCGGGACTTGAAATGACGAACCAATTAAGGTCCCGCTAGGTTAAGCGTAATACTGAACCGGACGATAGCAAAGCTGTCTACCACCAAAGTTGAGTGAGGGCGGCGGGGCTCGAACCTCGAACCATAGGGTCGGAAGCATGCCAGTGACAGCGACTAAACCACTGCGCCACCATCATGATGAATGTGTTATGTCTAGATGTCAAGACGATGTGATCGATACGTACGCCTCTTGTCTAGGCCCCAACAACTAGAGAAAGAACACTGCTGAGAAACGACAGTCAGAGTGTATTTTTGATCATGAAACAACAAGCAAATATATGTGTTCAGTTGGGCATACGCGAGCAGACGTGGTGACGCGCCAATCAGATCGTGACCTTGACACTCAGGTTGATCGACCGGACGACAGCTATTTGATTCGCCTTAGTCATCCAATCAGGAGTCGATTCGGCTTGGGCGTCACGAGCGCACTTGTGGTGTGACGCCCGTCGCTGCGTGGCAGGACGGATTTTGTGCGCTCCGTCCTAACAGAATGCTAAACCGATTTTCGTTGTGGCGTGATGTAACCCGATCTGTGTGTATAACCATCACCACCACCACATCGTTTCCCCAGTTTTCGTTTTCTCCGCTATTTTTTTGTTATTTCTAATTCTAATCGCTTGTGTTTGCTTCAATTTCACACGCCTCCTCGTTTCAGGTGCTGAGTGATATTGGAAAGGCCTTGAGTCGCGGTCGGCGATTGACCATGCCAGCCACGAATGATCTCCGGGCGTATCATGTGAACAAGCAGAAGGAGAATGCGAACAAACGATATCGTGGCACGTCGGACGATTCGTACAGTTTGCCAGATCAAGAGAATACCAAACCAAGCTGGTTGGAGGTAGATAGATATCTAATGGGCTCTAAATCGTTTTGACCTATTTCGCTCTCTCTATCTCATTGTGTGGTATATCTGTCCGGCTTTTTGTTGTGGTCCACCTCTTTGTTGCTCCGTAAATGATTTCTCTTGTGAATGAACAATAATTGTTCCTCAGCGCATTATTTTAGTGTCATCTTTTTTTGCTCGCATTGTTTGACCGCCAGTTTCTGTTCAGTTTTTTTTTTCGCTGTTTAAACCTCTATCAAACAATCCCGGTGAATGTGTTGCCATGTGACGCGGGCGCGCACCTCACGCAGACGACGCATTGTGCGCACGTTCAACTGTATGCGATTTCTCCTTTACAAAATACGTACAATTCAACGTTTCATACATATTTAAACGATCTATTTATTCATTCATTCTCTGGCGTACAGTAAACTTACCAAGCTCCCTCGGCTACTAGTAGTAGTGATAGTAACTTCCTTCTTAGTTCTTTGATTTTTGACGTGTATGTATTGTCCCGAGGAAGATTTGGGGCCAAACACACCACCCGAATTTCGGATGGATACACAAACAACAGAGTTCAGTTCAGTTCTCACAACCATTAACCATGCACTTCCGTTCGTCGGTTTTGGTTGCCCATTTGGATGAAATAGCATAATGGTGATTAGAATGTTGAGAGCAGATTTAAGCGGAAGGTAGCACATTTCCATAAACTGAAGTTACAAGAATAATGAGTGGATGCATGAGCGCCACTGTTTGCGACACCCAGCCATATCACTCAGGGCTCGGGAAAGCAGAGCTGTGTGCTACCGTGCGCGTCCCCAGGTGGCGGATGGGGGAGCGGCCGTCATCTCACGACTAACCGTGTATAAGGTGGACCTCGGCCCTCTCAATAAGCGGTCGCGGACGATCAGCGATAGCGCTTGAGGATGTGGTGGGTTTACCCCGGACAAGAGTTTTCCGCAAAAAACACCACATATATCTGTGGACAGCGCTGTGACGGCGAGTGTCATTGATCATTGCTCCTTGTCGAGATCCATTGCTCGACAACGTTTTCCAGAAGAGGCGAATGAACCAAATACTGGCCACCGGCTCATCTGGGATATCGCTGCTGCCTTGCAGTCCGCACTTGGTTGCGCAAAGGCTAGAGTGCACCCTCGAAACAAGGCCTACTCTGGACCGGGCGACCGAGTAGTACAACAGCCCACAACGCCAGCAATGATGAATCCTTCGACGTTCATGTGCATTTAATCTACCATTTTCGCACCTATAGATAAACACTCTACATCGTACACGCACGCATGTCCCCCTATCCCATCTTCACCCTCTTAACCCATCCCCTCTCTCGGGTTCTTCAGATGATCGTGCTAACAGTAGCGCCTCAGATGGAAACTCTGTCGCTGTTCCCTCATGTCCTACCTCGACTATCGTCCAAGTCTCACCGATTCCTCCACCAGCTGAAGCCTTTCTTCGCCCTCGATACCCGTTCAAACTAGCCACATTTAATATGCGCGCTCTGATGCGCACAGGACAACAGGCCGGTTTAACTTGTGCGCTCGAGACCCTAACCATCGATGTGTGTTGTATCCAATAGACTCGCATTCAAGACTCCAGCTCTATTATTCGATTGAAGTCCCGATTTAACCAATCTGTGAAGTTTCACTTACGCCTCTCTGGGGACTCTGAGGCTGCGGCTTCCGGTCTTGCTGGCGTTGATGTGGCTCTCAGTGAGAGACCTGAAGCCGCGCTCCTGGACTGGTTACCAGTCGACAATAGGTTGTGCGCAGTGAGATTTAGAGGTTCGTGCAGGCTAACCAGCCATCACCCCGACAGACAAAGGCTGTTTGTCGTGTCGGCGTACGCCCCGACAGACTGCAGCCCAGATGCAGTAAAAGATGAATTTTATAACCTACACGACCTCTTACGTAAAGCGAGTTGAGCTGATATCGCGATTTTAGCAGAGGATATGAATGCTAGAGTAGGCCGACGGACTTCGAGTTAGGTGCATCTGGGTGGTACTTTCGGACTAGATTCCTGTCGCTCGTGAAACGGGGAGCGGTTGTTGGCTCTTTGTTCCGACCACCGCCTATTCCTCGCCAGTACGAAATTCAGACGCTCCAAATACCGGTACGCCACTTGGCATCCGCCCTCCTCGAGTCAGATACGGACGCAGATCGACCACATCGCTATAAGCTACAAATGGCGGGGTTGTATACAAAACTGCCGACCGTACTGGAGCACTCCCCTCGAATCCGACCACGCGTTAGTTTGCGCCAAGCTGTCCATATGCTTCGGTGGGCGCTCCAACCGCTTGACACATCGACGGATAGACTGTGATCAATTGTCTGAACCAGCACGTCTAACTATCTTTCAGAACGCGCTAGCTGAAAAGCTAGAATCAACCCCACTCGATGACGTTAACCAGCGCTAGTCACTTATCAAGGATGCCCTGCATTTTGCTGGCTTAGTTAATTGTGATCTGACACGTCGTGCCGTGACACCCTGGATTTCTGCGGAATCTCTACGGCTTCTCGACGCACACAGAGACCGCGAGATCTGGTGGTCTCAACTTGCGTCAGAGATGGAACGTGCTGCTGCCATGGGAAATTCCCGTTAACTGTTTCATCTCATCCGAGTCACCGGTAGAAAAGCCTTGGATGTGAGCGAAACGATCTGCAAAGCTGACGGTTCGCCCATTCACAATCAACAGCGACGTCTTGTACGCTGGGCGGAGCAATTCAAGCCACAGTTTAGCTGGCCACCAGCTTCAGCTCCTCACACATAAATTCCGGCACACGTCCCATTGTCTGTTACAACACACCCACCCTCTGAGACGGAAATCCGTAAGGAGATCCAAGCCTTGGGAAGTCACAAAGCGCCGGGCTCCGATAGCCTTTCGCCTGCTCTACTTAA